AGCATGATGTCCTTCTCCAAGAATTGGTCCTTCCTGGCCACATACTCAAAATATGTGAGACACAGCTTCAAAATCCTTGCCTCCAAGGAGAAACTTGGTTTCAACCTCTCTAAGACAGAACTATTTACTCTCCTGTTGGTCTATGATATGTTCAATACTCTTCTCCAACACTGCAGCTCAAAGGTATCAATTCTTCTTTTGTCATCCTTATTGTTCAGCTCTCTGATGCATAGTAAGTAATTGTGAATACCAGGGTCTGGATCAGGTACACCTTAGTCTCCAGACTGATGTTGTTGCTCCAGTCCTGATGCCACACTCCTGCTCATAAAAACATGCCTCCCGAATGATCTGTTCTGCATACAGATTGAAAAATATGAAAACAAGATGCATCCCTGATGCACTTCCTTCCTGCGTTTAATCATGTAGTGTTTCCCAACTGTTTCCTAGTCTAGACATAGGTTTTGCATGAGCACAATCAACTGTTCTGGGATTCTCATTATTCTCAAGGTTAGCCACAATTTGTTATGATCTACACAGTCTTGCCTTTGCATAGTCAATGAAATACTGGCATTCCTCTGGTACTCTTTGCTTTCATCCATGATCCATCTAACATTGGTGATAATGTCTCTAGTGCTGCAGCCTCTTCTAAACCCAGTTGTATTTCTGGTAGTTCTCTCCCAATGTATTGTTCCAGTTGTTTTTGGATAATCTTTAGCAGAAGTTTGCTTGTGTGTGATATTAGTGGTATTGTTCGATAATTTCCACATTCTGTTGGGTCACCTTTTTGGTGGAAAGGAATAGATACGATCTCTTCCAGTCAGTGGACCAAGTAGTTGTCCTCCAGATTTCTTGGCACAACCTGGTGACCACATGCAGCGCAGCATCTGAAATAATTTTTGAAAAGTTTTGCTGAAATACATCAGTTGTTATTTCATCAATTCCTTGATTTTTGCCAATTCCTTCATAACAGATTGAACTTCTTCCTTCATCACCATTGCTTCTTGATCACATACTGTTTCTTAAAATTCTTCTGTGTCAGTCAATTTCTGTGTGTGTGTGTGTGTGTGTGTGTGTGTGTGTGTGTGTACTGCATCTATCTTCTTTTAATGCTTTCTGGATCATTCAATATTTTGTCCATAACATCTCTAAGTATTCAAACTTGAGGCTAGAATTTGTTGCTTAGTTCCTTCAACTTAAGAAATAACAAGCAAATTCATCCCTTTTGATTTTCTGACTCCAGGTCTTTGTACATTTCATTATAATATTTTTGTTTTGTCTTCCCAAGCTGCCCTTTAATATCTTCTATTCAGCTCCTTAACTTCTTGATTTCTTTCTTCCCTTTGATTTAGCTTCTTAGCACTCTAGTGCAAAATTTAGTCTTCTGACATCCACCTCGGGCTTGTCTTCATCCTCTATCTTTGTAATGGCCTTTTGAATTCTTCCTGGATGATATTCTTGATACCCTCCCATCGCTCATCTAGTCTTCATTCATCAGTGTTCAAGGCCTCGGAAATTCAAGGTCAAATTTTGATCCTGTGGATTTGACCTTCTTTAGCTTTAATTTGAACTTACATCTGAGTAAGTTGAGGGTCTGTTCCACAGTCGGCACCTGGACTAGTTTTCATAGCTAATATTGGCTTTCTCTAATGATTCTTTCCACAGATGTAATCAATCTGATTCCTGTAGATACCATAAGGTGAAACCCATGTGTATAGTTACCATTTATGTTTAAGAAGTATTTGCAATGAATCATTGCAATGTACAGAACTGTATCATTCTATCTCCAGCAATATTTCCGTCACCAAGTCCAAGTTTTCTAACTGCTAATTCTTCTTCTCTGTTCCCAACTTTTGCATTTCAGTCACTCATCATTATTAATGCATCTTAATTGCATGTTCAATCAATTTCTGACTGCAGAACTTGGTAGAAATCATCTAGTTCCTTCTCTTTGGCTCTGGTTTTTGGTGCATGTATTTGAATGATAGTGATATTCACTGGATTTTCTTGTACGTGTATGGATATTATCATGTCACTGACAACATGGCATATCAAGATGGATGTAGGAATGATATCTTTAACTTTGAAAGTGACCCCTTTTTCCTAACCTTTTCATCTCTGACATAGCAGATTATATGATTATCTATTTCAAAATGTCCCATGCCAAACTTTCTCATTTTGCCAATATCTGGTACGTCAATATTTCTCTATTACATTTCTTTCTTAACAATGACAAATTTTATGCATTCATGCTTTCACATTCCACATTCCAATCACCAGTGTCTGCTTACAACTGTTCCTCCTCCTTTGTATTTCCAAATTCAAGGGCTCAGCATCAGGTGTCATATCTGCTAGTCTAATCTGAGTGTGCTCTATTGTACATAGGGTTTTCAAAGGCCTATTATTTCAGAAGAAGATAGCCAATCCTTCTTCTTAGTCTTAATTTGAATGCTCAGCTTTAGAACAATATCTGACAGACAAGAAAGGAGCAGATGAAAGACATTTTTTCCATCACAGAAGTAACCAATAGATTCAATGTCACCTCCCTCCTCTTTGGAACATATCTATTGACCCATCCTCTTCCCCACTCCACCAGCATCCGCTTCCTCTCCTGCCTATCCCATCCAGCATCTCCCTCCACCTATCCAACACTTGATATGATGGCTTAGATCTCAATTCACTTCCGTGATGCCTAATGCCTCACGTTCCTTCCTGCCAGTCTCTCACCCTGCTGACAGTCTCTCTTGAGTTTAGGAGGCTCTAAGTCCAAATTCCAGGAACAGGTGTAGGGAAGAATTTCTGTCTCAGACAGTTCTGAGGAAAGGTCCTTGTCCCTGAACTTCAAGAAGCTCCAAGAATGTCTTCTCGTGTCTTAGTGCCTCTGTTCGTCCATTCACAGCACACTGCTGCCACTGTAGGGTACCTTCCCAGGGAAGGGTGATGTCTTCTCTAGACGTGAGATGCTGGTGTTGTTTATCTTCAAAGCCCCGGAGCTCATGAAGCTAGTTTGAGTTGGAGCCTTTGTCTTACTTTCAATCCCCTGACTGTTGGCAAAGCCCGGTGGAATTCTGGGAGTATGGGTGTTACATGATTTTGAGAGGGCAAAGGTGATTCTAGAATCTTCCCTTCTTCAAAGGCCAGGAGCTCCTGAAGCTATTTAGAGTTGGAGGTTAGTATTGCTATATACCAAGTGTGGGAGAGGGAGGGCAAGCTCCTCCCATATAGTTACTGCCTCTTAAAATCTACTCTAGGATCAGCTTTGGTCAGTTCTGACTCGAAAGCAACAACAATCCCAAGTGAATCCAATTTTTTTACTCTCAATGTACAAATGAAGAAACAGACATAGACAGTAACTTCTGGAATATCACTCAGTTAGCAGTTCATGCACTTAACCCCTAATCACCTTGCCTCAAGCTTTAGAGCTTCCACTGTCCCCGCATCACATCATTCTTTTTATTTTCTTCCACAAGAAGTTGACATCTTACTTTGAAATCAGTCACTGTTGAGTCAATTCTGACTCATGACAACCTCATGTGTGTGAGAGTGGAATTGTGCTTCATAAGAGTCTGAATGGCTGATTTTTCACACAATCCCCAGGCTATCTTCAAAGTTCCCTCCAGTGGACTCACCTTCCCTCTTCCAGTAAGCAGCTAAACTTCTTCACCTTTTGTACCATTCAGGGTCCAGGCACATAGATATATATTAAGGTCAAGGTCTACTTGTTGAATGAATACCCATAATATAAATTAAGCAAACAAAAAATAATACAGTAGCAAAGAGTTGAGAGGCAAAAGTAGGCCTTGAAGGGTATTCAGTATCAAGTGAGGACCACAAGATGTTGAATTCCATGTGCTGAAAGAGTTGGTTACTGTGAATCTGATTAGATGCATTAAAGATTTAGGTAGTATCTGGGAAGACTCCAATATATTATTAGTGACAATGAACATAATTAAACCAGTAAAATTCTCTGGTTGGTTTGAGCAGAGTCACATAGTCATTGTTCATTGTTCTAAAAACCACTTGTTAATATGAAACCTTTAGAGCAAGGATATTTAACTGTTCTTATTCCATGGACTTTGGCAATCAAGAAGTCATATAACACATATTTAGAATATTATTTATGCAGGAGGAAGCCCATTAAGTCTCTAAATGTACATAATAAAGTTACATAATTAAAAAGGCAGCCAACTATATTGTTATCCAAATAGCAGCATGACACATATAATTTAAAATATATGCTAGAGTAATATCTATCTCTTTATTAGCATTTAAAATAAGATCTAGTGACAATTTTTTTTTCAAATAACTGTAATTTGAAGTTGTGATGGGTGTAAATGGTATGTTAAGCTATCTGTAACAACGGAACTGTTTTAGATAGAACTGTCTGTGATTTCTATTGCTAGCCATCAGTCATGGGCACTGCTAACACTAATACAGCTTGTTGTTAGATTCATATTAGAAAGAGATGCTAATTTTCAGGTGGAAGTTAGTGAAAAGAAAGATGTTATCTTTCCTATGGGTGGGGCTCTTGGGGAGAATTGTGAGCCAGGTTAAACACCCCTACTAGCTATCCACTAGCTAGCCTTCTTTGTTTAATCCTGACCAACAGGACTCCTCTTGATTTAAGGAAAATCTGTAAAAGAGTTACATCAATATCTTGTAGTCAGAAATATTACTCCAGAAGTTTTAATTTCGAACTCACTGCCGTGGATTCAATTTCAACTAATAGCAACCTTCCATCAAGTTTCTGTGGCTGTGAATTTTAGTGGGAAGAGATCGCCTCTCTTATTCCCATGGAGATGTTGATGAATTTGGACCATTGGAGATGACTAGCCTTTTTGATTAGCAGCTTATTTGATTAGCATTCTGGGGAGGGACTAGTTCAGAAAACATTTCTGGAAAGCAGCATTTATCTTTACTTTGCTGAGAAACAAACTAGATAATCGCTTCACAACCATATATACACCTCATATCTTTCTTTCTCTTTCACTTATACCATATTCTTTTTTTTTAACAGCTATTTTTCTTTTAATAAAGTAAAAGTGACAAACACATCATATATATTTTTCTTATGACCAGCCTCTTCTTTCACAGCACCCGGGTCAACAGTCACGCCAGCTCTGTTCTACTATAGCAGAAACACGCTTTTCATATTCCCGCTTGTTCTCCTGGTACAGCTGAGCAGCCTGGCTGTTGGCTGGACTATTTGGATTGGGTTCATCCAATAGAGACTGTATGGATGTTAAAATGGAAGACACATCATAGGTTGGGCTCCAGCGGTTCTGCAATATATCCAGACATATGCTGCCATCGGCATAGACATTTGGATGAAACATCTTAGAGACAAATCTAACAGTGGGTGGTTTATTCGGATATTCTTCAGTGAATTCTATTGTGAGCTTAAATGTTCCATCCTCAAAGGGGGTCCCTTCGGGCCCGAAGATGACCGCGTTCCAAACCATAATGTTGTTCTCCGAGGGGGCGCCGTTAACTCCGGCGGGGGGATCCTCCTGCAGCCTCTTGAAGTCCCTCATGAGGCGCCGCCGAGCCGGGGTAGACATATTGTTGTGTACCTTCAAGTCAGAACCAACCCATAGCTGGCCCTCCAGTGGGTTTTCAGAGGTAGTTAGTCATTCAGGAGGAGATTGCCCATCCCTCTCCCACAGACCAGCTGGTGGTCTTGAAATGCACGTGCCTTTGGAGCTGCAGCACAGTTTCTTGCCACTAGGACACCAAAGGCCCCTATTAATGCCTTGTTATTATTGTTATTGTTGTTATTGTGTACCATGGAGTCAGAACCGACCCATAGCTGACTCTGCAGTGGATTTTCATAGGCAGTTAATGACATGGGAGGAGATTGCCCATCCTTCTCCTGAGGAGTAGCTGGTGGAGTCAAACTGTGCCTTCGAGATTGCAGTGCAGCTTCTTGCCGCTAAGCTACCAGATCTCCTCTACTTATGCTTTGTTATTGTTGTTGTTGATTGCTGTCAAGTAGAGCACAACTCATTGTGACCCTATGAACAAAAGACCTGAAGCCTTTCTATAACAATCATTTCTCAAAGTCTGTAGAGTTTCCAGAGGTATCTTTAAGAAGTGGATGCCACTCCTTCTCCTTTAAGATATTAGAAGATTTTAATTTGATGATATTTGAATGTAAATTTTTAAAAAAATTTTCATAAGACCGTATTTGCTGAGTTAAAAGTTTTCATTCCAACCTCTCCCCCCAACTTTAATGTACACTAAAAATTGTATGAAGCTGCTTTTGCAATATTAGTTCTACTATTAAACTTAGCAAATTGTGTTGTTGTTGTTGTTGTTGTGTGCCGTCGAGTCGCCTGCGACTCATAGCGAC